CTTGCTATCGATGGGAAGCCGCTTATAGGCATCACACACACAACCTGTACAGTGGTTTTTGAGAAGCTTCTATAGAAAGCACCGGATTCTAATTACGCTAGTGGTGGGATGGTGAAGTTGAGTTGGTTGAAGGAGTACTTCTCTCAATGCTCCAAACATTCACCTGAGGAACAGGTCTCGTGCTTATCTTCTGTAGCTTGTAGGAAGCACAATTTTCTCGACCACCGCTGGTAATAAAGTTCCTGTAATGTACCTCCCATTGTTTGATAACTTTGAAACATGTGGGACGTATGCTGCAGCATTGGCTTTCTTGTACCAGGCGCTTGGTAATGCCTGTGTTAAGTCCCAAACTACTATTTGTGGATGCCTCATACTTTTACAGGTCTGCTACGTTCTTCCTTTACTATGATACTCAGTCTTGCAGTTTATCATGCTCATTGGATTTATTGATTAAGTGAGCCAGAAATACTGTTATATTTTTTTAACTCCCCTATTTCAAATAGAATGTTATAATTGATTGGTATACTTTTTGTAGTGTTGGAATTACTTTCATCTTACTGTCGAGATTCCAAAGCTCAACCGGGATCCAGTCCACGATAGCTTTCCTTTCGTGCTGAGGTGGAAAGGAAAACAAAGTGGACCGACAACAAACCGCGATGTGATCTTTTATAGGAAGGCATTGGATGTAATGAAACCAGCTGATGTATGTTCTCATTTGTCTAGCTAGTTTCTTTATCTTTTCACCTTTATCGAACAGAAAAGAGTAAACTGTAATTCTCCCATAAAATTATGTTTGTAGGTACAATGGCTTCCGTTCTAGTATATGGACACTACAGAAATACCAGAACTGATCAAAGACACTTTGATTCTAGGTAGATCGAAAACAATGCTCATATGCTTCGACAAGGCAAAGAGACACTTATACGATCGCTGCATAAGGAAGTACGACATGTTTCAACCAATCCCAGAAGATGTGACGTGGTGGGTGAGAAAGAGTCAGGGAGTTGATGGTAGGGTATACTTGTCTGGTAAAATGTAGCCATCTCCATATCGTGGAGGGCAATGATGCCACGATGGATGACGAGACTGTCTATATGGAATGGTACTTGAGAATAACCCGGAAGGCATATAGAATCTTAAGAGACAAATGTTGTCTAATTTACCAAAGGCATATAGAATCTTATGATACTTTTTTGGTAATGTCTATTTTTTATCCAAACCTTTTTCAGATTCTTTTATATTATCCAAACCTATTATAATTCTATTAATTAGCCAAATCTTTCGTAATGCATCAAAATATTAGCAATTTTTACGTTCTCATTAATATTTTGTAACTCTTTTCTTAGTTAAAATACTAAAATTTTGCATGACCTTCATGTGTCTCTTCCAAGTCAGTATCATGTTGCCAAGTCAATATTACTAACAAAATTGCTAACTAAAAGTTAATATTTGTCTAATTCTTAGTATTTCGATAAGTTTGGATTATATAAAAGAATCTAAAAAATGTTTGGATAAAAAATAGACATTACCCTAATTTTTTATTTTGAAAAAGTCATCTAAAGTTACAATTTACTTGTAAAGTCTTGATCTTTCTTTACCTCTTGCGATTACAGAGAAGAAACTATACCTTATATGATCCTACTCATATTTTTTAAGTCAATATATCCACATTGTACCATATTGTAGGCCACTTATTATTATATACTGGCATATTTGATAAAAAATTTCATTTCATTCTACATCTTTTGTCATGCTATTTTCTTAATGAATATTTTGTCATGCTTTTGAACATGAGCCAGATTACTTTTTATGTAATAATAAAAATATTTATAGTTATTTTGTAGCACATTAAAATCTTGAGTACTCTTGATATGATCATATGATTTTGATGTTATCATACTTCTAGATTTTATATGAAATCTCAAATTTTGACAACAACGGTTGTTCTGATGTTGTCGAAAGCGCAATTCTATGTAAAAGTGGAAAGATGACTTGAAAAGAAAATAGTAAAAGTGCAACGTAAACCTGTAAGTTTTTACGCATCATGTGAAGGTGTTAAACAATAACTTATACTCTTCAAAATATGAACATTAAATATACTTCAAAGCACACAAACTATCTTTGTCTATATTTAAAAGCGCACTACTCATATGCAAATCATTTTGATAAGCTCCTCAACTAGGTAGATTCTATCTCATAACTAGAAGTTCATAAATATACAATACAAGTCAAAGTTATACGTTTACGTAAATCATACCTCATACACAAGCTTCAAAGTCCAATTTCTTGAAATTAAAGCACAAAAACGATCTAAATCATAAAATGAAACTACATTAGTGTGTCAAAGCTAGGCGAAGGAAGAATTGTTTGAGTTGTGGTTGGCGAGCGGTGGCTATAACAGAGGAGGAAGGGGATGTGATCAGGTGAAGGACATATGGATTGGAATTTGGGAGTGAAAGAGGAAAATGTAGTGAGAGGAGTTGTTTTGCAGAAATATTTCAAATTTTTTTTTCATTTGTCTAAGGCAAATCTGGACACCATTTTACTTTTGATATGAGTTGTCTGAACTCTGAAGGTCACAAAGGTTGAGCAAAATCCCAGTTTTGACTGAGTTCATATAATTCTACCGCTTCTATTAGTGATTCTGTGTGCTTATGGTGACCAAACGATATTACATAGACTCTTAACTCCTTTTGTTGATCTCGAAATGTAAATGCATACATTTTACACTTTGAATCGCTCATTTGACTTTTGCATTATTTTGATAGTCTTTGACAGATTGCTGGCCTTAGAGAGATTGCTTATTTAGCATATTTGTTTTCGACGAAAGGATTAGACAGGCAACAATTCGAGTCGATCTCAAGGATCAGATATATAGCATATGACTGTTTGAGGGACCAGTCAGGAAATACTCTTGCTACTATAGTAGCAGTTGACACTACCCAAGTTGAACTCGAGAAAATCATAAGGGGGAAGGAGAGAGTAATAAGAAAGGGCAGTGGGAAGCGGTGGAGAAAAGACGAACCAGTATCCAGAGGGAAGTGAGGATGAATCGTCTCAGTTCTACGATGGAGTTGCAGAGGTTGATCCATTACATGGTATCTGACGGTTGCATCGATGGATGTTGGTGCTCGTATTCTCTCTCATTTTTCTGGCAATGGTGAAAATGCCGAGGTTATTTATGATGGACAGCTCTTTGAAGGAACTAGTGATTTTAACGAGTCTCATAATACCGATGGATTAGCTAACGTTGTTATTAATCCCAAGTATGATGATCCAACTGAGAAGTTGAATGATGAGGTTTCCGATTCTCTGCTATTTGATGGAGCAACTGAGACTGATAATCTAACTTATGAGATCCACGTTGCTGTTGACGAGGTTCGGGTCCCAAAGCTGATGAATGGAAGTAATGTCTCTAGTGACGAATAGCTTCCTGCTAGAATGACTAGTGTCTCGAAGCCTCTTGATTCAACTTATGAAATGGAGCTTGCTGATGCAATTAATGTGGTTGATGACATGGAAAAACTAGCAGCAGAAGCAACTAGAGTAATTTCTGAGTCGAAGCTTCCTGATTCTGCTGAAGTGGCTAGTGAGTGGCAGCTTATAGAGATGTAGAGAATTTGCATCCTTCTGATGTTAAAACTGAGATGGGTCACTCTCAGGTCTCTGATCCAACTAATGGCAGGAAAAAGGTGGAAGACTCTCATGCTGTTTATGAAAGTTTGTATCTTTCTGACGGTAAGGAAGAGAATGGCTCACTGACTCATGCCAGTGAATATGAAAAGGTTTCTCTGCTTCAAGATTATGAGACCAACTCGCCCACTGCTGACATTATTGATCCTTCAATTACCAAAAGTGCGGTAGAGGATGTGCTGACATCATCCCCCAAAATTGGTGCAACATAACCAGAGTTTGATCGTATGGAGCTATCATTCTATGTATAATCATATGGTAAGAAGTACTTTAACCGATTTATCGTTGTTAATTATTTACGCCTGACCTCTTCTGTGTGTTTGATTTTACCAAATTGGTCACATGATACATTTGCTTATTTTCTGCAACAGGCATCTCCGGTACATCTAGTTGGTGCTTGAAAGTTCTGGCACTTAGCATTATGAGAGATGCTTGCTCCTAGTTTGGCCTACATTCAATAATTTTGTGTTTGTCTTCAGAATAGTTGTTTTGTAGATTTTAAGGTGGTTTGTATGAGCCATCTATTTTCTTTTCTAGATTAGACCGTTGATTGTTGAATTCTGAGTTTCTTGGACATCATTTGAAACCAAGTTCCTTAGCAACATAGTTGAAATCTTGCCATGCTTATTATTATTGTTGTTTGGCAAGAGTAGTTTGCTTCAAACATGAGAAAACAATGTTTCTCGAGTCTTGACAATGGAGTTCCTTTGTAGCCTAGGCAGTTGGAAGAATGGAGTACATGCGATCTGATAGTTGATCAAGTTCTCCGACCAAGCCTTTATTCGTTTACACTTTATCTTCCATCTCGCTTGAAATATAGTTTTTTTTACTCGTTATTTGATTCACAGGTATCAAAGACTATACTTTGCTTACAGTACATTGATGAATTTTTTGCTTTGATTTTCTACTACCAAAGGAGCTGATCCTTCGAAAAAATTCAGCAGCTTACGCGCATACTTTCTTTGTGAAGCCAAATTGACAGAGTTCATGCAGCCTGTAACTTGGCCAGCTTGGTTATGCTTCTTGCTTAGAGATGTTGTCTCCATTGAAGTATTCATCATGTGAATGGTCTTCTTCAGGGACACAAGTTTTTGTTTGAGGCTCTGAATCCGAAAGCTCGTGGATTCGTACTCCTTGTGTGAGAGCTCAGAGGTAATAAGCTCCTTCCGCAAGTAGAAGCTAAGTGTTTCTTGTGCTCCATCAGTAGTGTATGGACTCTCTATCAGGTTTTGACTCTGTAGGCTTCCTGAGAATTCTCCATATCTGAATGACTCTGAGCATTCTTTAAAAGCCTTGTGGATATTGAGCTACTGAATGAAGAGAATCTCGACGATCAATTTCAGAGGCAACATATCGTTTTGAAATGCTTCCACACACGCCCCTTGAGAGAGCTTCTGACAGTTGAGGTACTTGCACACTGCTGCCTTTTCGTCATGGTTTAAATCTTGGTGCGCTTGAAGGAAACTGTTGATAGTTCGGTAGAGTTGATCGTGGCTTTGTCTCCAAGAAATAGGTGTTGTCTCTAACAACTCAGTGAATCTTTTTGGTTCCATTTTTGGATCAGAGCCATTGTGAGATAGATAAGAATCCCATAGCTCTGCAACAAGTGAACCGCTTGCCGACGGAGTATGGCTTGCCGAAGACATCACATATCCAGAAAATATTTCCTCCATGACGATGACTTCCTCGCTGGAAGAGATTGATGATGAATCAGATGATCTTTTCTCAGGGTAAAGAAACCCCTCCACTTGAGCGAATTGCAGCAGAGTAGCTATCTGATCTTGCAGCTTTGCCTTGTTGTCATTCCCTAGACCGAGTTCAATTGATCTGGAGAGCAAAGTGAAATAGAATCCCATAGGCCCTGTTCTACTACCTTTTCCTCTCAGGGGCAGTAGATCAAGAATGCTTTGCAACATCGAGGCTGAATAGCTGCTCTTAGGAATGGCAATGGGGCAGGTTTGGGGCGGGTATATCAATACCCATACCCGCCCCGCCGCAAGTCGGGTATTAGTTAGATATATTAACAGACAAGTTTTACTTAAGGGGTTTACTATCGTGTGGGCGGGTCCAACGTAATATTCCTACACACCTTTTCCTTAATTACCCACCCTGATTTCCCGTTTGACCTCCTCTTTCCCAAATCGCTTGCAGATTTACATTAAGATTTTGCACCCGCTGCCCACTACGTTTTCCCCTTATGGCCAACCCACTTTTCATGCCCCGTAACGTTCTCCTTTCTATCTCGTTTGTTTTCCCCGCATCGTCCGTCTGGCGCCGACTGTCAAAGAGTCCTCCATGGATAATGGCAGCTATTGAACTTTTTTACTCTCATTATTCCTGGGATTTTCCCCTATCGACTGGCCCGAGATTTTCCCCGTTGACTGACTGGAGATTGCCCATAACCCCATTGGCGGACCTTCTCCCCTGCCATGACTAGATGGCGGCTTGACAAGTCGCCGAACCTTCTCTACCAACCCCCAATCTCCTTCGAGAACGCGTGTAGGGAATCAATTTTAACAAATTAGAAACTGAAATTAAATTTTGGGCGCTATGAAGGAAAAAGCTGGAAGGAAGAGGATGGAGTGACGTGTAACTGGAGATGCCGGCGGTGCAGTAGAGGACAAGAAAGATCACTCTTTTGCATGAATGACACTGTTTATGGTTAAAATGAGAACATGCCACCTATTCACCTCTATTGGCCAAACCTCACGTTATGAAATTATTCTCATTGCTCTTTTTGTTAGTTAAGTTTTTTAATTTCACTAAGTGTTAAGGTATTATCATTTGATTTGTTAAAATTCACATCATATATCTAACACACTTCAGTTATTCCATCAAGTTATGCTTGGTATGGTTGGCAGGGACAGAGCTAGCTTAGGGGAAGGAGGGGCCATGCCCCCCCTCAAAATTTTGGAACTGTCTAAAATATAAGACGGACAACTAGTTTCACTTAATTAGAAAAGCATTAGAAATATTCGTCATTCACTCTCTCACACCTCCATGGCTGACCGGTCAACATCTCCAGGGTCAGAACTGGTTTCTCTCTCCTCCCTTCTGGGTCAAGAATCTCCATGCAAGCCATGGATGATAGAGCCTCGATGCACATGCTGATTATCAGAAGCTCCTCGGACCATGGCCGCAAATCCTGACAGTGTTTGAGGACACGATTAAGGTTTCATCCCATCTCTGTAGCACGACCCAGTTTAAGTACAGGTCGTATCGTTCACAGAGGGAGTGGTCCTCTATCATTTCCAAGAACTCTGCCGCGCAGCGTAGGGCCACCAAGTTGGAAGGGTTGATGATCGGATTTGGTGAGCCATATGCAAATAAAGCTATGGTCTGGAAGGTCTCCGGTCCTCCTAGGAAGTGTGGTGGTGAAAAGAAAAGGCTCGAGGAGGATGCTAGAGAAGTGTCTTTGGGGCTTGGAGATTCCATGAACAAGGAGGATACTAGGAGATTTACAGTAGTAAAGAGGAAACTTCCAAAGTCTGGTTTCTCTTCTGGCTTTTATTACTTCAAGTACAAGCTAACGGTTTCTTACAAGAAACCCATTTCGTAATGGGTTTCTCGAATCATGGGAAACTTATGCAAGTCAAACGCACACAAGTGAAGAAAGGAGCTGAGAAAAAGTACAGTGCTAAGTTTAAGGGTTCAACAAAGTTAACCTGTGGGGAGGTTTTGGGGAAATCAAGAAAGCCATTCCCTCGACTGCTCTGCGTTGCTATATCAATACACTAGTAGTAGTGTGAGTGTCTGCTAAGTTTTCTCATCACCACATATCATGCAAGGCTTGTTGGTAAGGTTTGTGCCTTTTGCACTCCGTTCTAGCAAAATCGGAAAACTAAGTACCAAAACCATACCCCACGAGTGGAAATCATGGAAAGATGTCTACTTTTTGGGGAGCTTCAGTAGAGAATCCGTTTCATTCAACTTTGTGATCACCATACCAATGACATGTTGCTCTGGCGAGGGTGATACCAAGAATACAGTGTAACTCCGAACGTAAGTAAGTAGTAGCTGCGAGTTTTCATAAATGCATAGCTTCAAAATCTCGAGTTGTTCAAACTTATTGGGCTAAGAATTGACGTAGGATATGCATAATGATATCAAGTTCTTGTATATTATAGTAAATGAAGAAAAAAGACAGACATAATGTGTTTTGCTGAGTTAGTTTACTAACATATATGAGTTCGAAGGAGAAAAAAGGGACATGTATTCTCTCTATGTGGCTTCGAACAAGTTATGTATTGTCATAAAACGGAGTGAGAGTGTTTTCGATTCCACACTGCAATGATGTTGGTCCATGTTTCTCATTTCATGCTCTACAGACAATCTTTCGATTTAGGGATCACCGGTGCAAACTCATCCTCATTGTAATACCCCTTACATGTGTGCATCATGCTGTTATGAAGCTAATTAGTTTTTACCCTTTTATTGCCCACCAAATTCTACCCTGGTATCTTTTCATCCTATTGCCAATTTATTTAGTTCTTCTACAATATATATGGATATCCGATCCCTCTCGTCTACAATCAACAAGAACAAGAGAAAAATATGCTCCAAAATTGTCGTTCGACTAGTATGATATTTAATTTCCGTGAGCCAAAAATAAAGATTTAGATTTGACAATTTAAGAATCAATTGAAAGCTTTTTTAATGGATAATTGACCTTATTATTCATGCCCATCTATGTGGAGGAGTGCATGGAGGATTAGTTGGTCGTGATGGGAGCATATGCATGCATGGCAACGTGTATGAATTAATTGGTTAATTGCTTGGATGGGTTAATTGTAATTATAGCTTGTCATTATTTGTGAATTTGTGGTGGAAGTTGAAGGAGCATCTCGCATGAAGAAAGCAAAGCTTCTTCCAATTCGGCACATGAAAAGGAAGTGCATTCATCAATTAAAAGGACAAGGCAACATGGGTTAATTCAAGAAGAACAAATGGAAGTCCTCATTCAGCAAAGAAAGGAAGCAACGAAATTATAATTCCGCAAAGGGAAAAGAAGGGCTCTCGTTACTGAGTAACCAAATGTCCGCCATCACCAGAAAATTCACATATAATGTTGTAGAATTAAAGGTATTTTATTTGTGTTAAACAATGATGAAGATTGTAAATGACAGTGAGTATATTCCTACTATCATGTATTCAACCTTTCAACAGTCTTGTTATGTTCATACAATCATGGTACGCTTTCTTACCGTATGATATATGCTCCTATTTAATACCTTATGGTATTGACTGGTAAAAAGTGCCTCAATTTTTTTTTGTTCTGAAAATATATCAAATTGAATATCATTTTAAAGAGAACAATTAATCTGATTTATCCGTGCAAAAAAATTTAATTTCCGATTTAAAACGAGAGATAAATCGTTCGTTAAACATTAAGTGATAAAAGAGAAAAGGCTTTCCATGAGAGAGAGAGATGCTGATGTCACGCTGATGTGGACAGGTTACTCATGGTTACTGACCTGAACCGCTCCCGAAAAGAATGACGTGTGTGCTGCTGCAATTTGGAGTTAATTAATTATTTTGGTTATTTAGAGGTTTAATTAATAGTTTAGTACTTACTTAATTAGTATTATGTTTTCTAGTTAATTTGAGATTTGTTTTTCCTATTCTTAGAAGGTTAGATTTATGTTTTTTGACCTCTGTAGATATGAGGTGTAAGACCTACGAATTTCGTACCCAATATTCAAGCTTTCATTCGATCAAATACAAGTGAGTTAGTTCGAGTTCAATTGTGAACATTTTGCTTAATATCTCCTTTGAAGATTCAGGAGAACTGAGTGGTCTCTTATCAACTACGAAAGAACGCGTCTAGTTGTGGCGAGCATCGACAATATCAGTTGGCTTTATTCAAGGGTTCAAGATTGTTTGATTATTTAATATACCAATTGTCCCTTCTCACAAGTTCAGATATGTTTAATTGATTTCCGCATTTATCTTTAGTTTTTGTGTTATTCAAGAAATGAGAAAACTCCAAAATAGTTCAATGTTGTGCAACTCTGATTTTTTGTCCGAATTTGAGTGGATAATTGAGAGTGTTAAAAATTTGATAAGTGTTCACCCTGACTCAAAGAATACTTTTTTCCATGATAGGATAAAATTACATAAAATTGCAGGCATTAAAAATTTGAGGTCATGTGCTGTATATATTTTGCTAACCATATATAAAATATTTTTTTCATTCTAAATTTTAACTTCCAAAATAGTGTTTCCTTGCATGTAGTTTTTATATTATAGGGGTTTGCATATTTCCTGACAGAAAAGAGACCTTTGATCGCTACAAAATTGATAGGTTTAGGGGACGAAAAAATTTGTCTCCAAAACATGGGTTTTTCATCTCCACGAGTTGTGCCTATAGGTTCCGTCCTCTATTCTTTTGGGAACAAAAAATAAAAGTCGTCCCCAATATGAGGGCCATATAGTCGTCTCCAAAAATTCTAAAATTCTAATTAATTTTCCGTCCATTTTTTACGAATTTTGGATAACATGTCATCTCCTCTGCAATAATTTTGAAAACAAAGAGCCGTCCCCTATGAATTATGTTACGATACAATAAGTAGTCCATTATAAAGCATTTTTGGAGACAACAAGTAATCCACTATGAAGTGTTTTCGAGACAGTGATCCTTGCTAACAACTATCTCTGAAGGCTGTTAGTCATCTTAATGCAACATTTTCGGGACGACAAGTTGTTCCCAAAGAACTATCTACGGAGACAACATATCATCCCTTACACCGTGTTATTCAATATACTAATTCGTCTCTTAAGAACTATTTTTCAAGACCACAAGTCGTGCCCTAAGATTTCCTTTTTGGGACAAAGAGTCGTCCATTGAGTGCCACTCCTTGAGACTAGAAATCATCTCTTAATACGATTTCTCGAGATCGACAATCTTCTTTAAAAAGTATTTTTTGAGACGACAAGGTGTGCTTGCAGCAGATTTTTGGAGACAATAAGTCATCTCGTAATATGAATTTGTGGAGACATCAAGTCGTGTGATAAATGTTGTTTTCCGAGAGAATGGGCATCCCATATACACTACAATTAGAGACAATGAGTCAACTAAGTGCTAGTTTTGGACACATCAAATCATTTCCTGTATAAATTTTTAATACGACATATCGTCCACATTTGCATCAAATAAAGAATATATACGCAAAATATTAATGACATCAATAACATCCAAATGTATAAATAGCTCAAACAACCATAATTAATCTATCATAATTAACCAAAATTCTATAAAAATAAGTACATTTTAAATACAAAGGACCAACAATATTGATTAATAAAAATTTGTCTCTCTTAGAATCATCATAACCCAAATTTGATCCATAAAGATGCTTCTTGTCTCATCTCCCTCCTGAAAAGAAAATGAAATCATATATTCAATATTCTTATTAGAGATATAGTCAACAACATATTTAGTTAACTAAGAGATGACAAACAAAAGATTGATACAAACCTTGGAGAAGCCAAAAATCACTTCTTCTTCTTCTTCTTTGGAGCAGTAGACTGATTTGTTAGTGAAATCCTCTTTCGATTCAGATGCAACACATAGATTATTTATTTTAAAATGTAAAATATTCCCACCATAAAATTTTAACTAACTCTATGACTTTATATAAAAAAAGACAGCATACCTTCAAATAACATTGCTCCCTTTCAAACTCATCTTCATCCCTCTCTTCCCGACTAAGAGTTTCTTCGGACTAATTTCAAAATTTGTTGACAAAACTAGTACTAACATATAACCAAACGTAGAAGTAGAAATGTTAACTTATGCATTAATCCTAAGTCAAGAATATAAATTAACATTTAAGTTTGTACTACATGTAATTAAAAGGTTGTGGGTTAGCAGCTTACTTGAGTATCTTCTGGTGATAGAATATGTTGTTGCCACCAAGGGATTGTTTGCTCCGGAACCAGTGATTTTCGGGAAGGGGAAAATTGAGCCGGATCTTTCCCCAAACCTAAACCCCTTTATTTCTTTACCCAAAAATTTAAACTGCCGCCAAAAGTGTACTTTGTTTTCATTTGGTGACCGCCTTTGCAATCCGCACACACAAAAAAGAGTTCAAACTTCTTAACCAC